CCTCGCCCGGCTAGTTTTTTGTGTTTTTAGTAGAGACGGGGTTTCACCGTGTTAGCCAGGATGGTCTCGATCTCCTGACCTCGTGATCCGCCCATCTCGGCCTCCCAAAGTGCTGGGATTACAGGCTTGAGCCACTGCGCCCGGCAAATTTTTTAACTTTTTGAAGAGATAGGGTCTTGCTTTGTTGCCCAAGGTGGTCTGAAACTCCTGGCTAAGCTGTCCTCCTGCCTGGGCCTCCCCTTTTTTAAATGCCCCTTGTCAGCCACAGGCAGCTGGCTCCATTATGAAGCCTCTGTCACCAAAGCCCAAAGCCATGGCTCCCTCCCTACCTTGAAGCCTCCTAAAGCCTTGGGTCCCTGTGCCCCACCCCTGCCACAGGAAGTGGGCTGCGCGCTGAGACCCCTTCTCGGCGTTGCAGGTTCATCAGTAAAGAGATCCTGACTATCCGGGAGGCTGTATGGCTCACAGACAACACGTACAAGTATGAGGACCTGGTGAGAATGATGGGCGAGATCGTCTCCGCCTTGGAAGGGAAGATTCGAGTAAGCAGTGGTTCCATTTTCCTTATTAATCCTAGTTGTCGTTGTGCTGGAGGGTGGGGGTGGGCATTTGGCTTTCCTGCTGTGGGAGGCCTCATGGACTCAGAGGGCAGCTCTCTCTGCTGTGCCCAAAGCCACGGAGCAGGAGGCCACGGTTGCACCACATCGCCACTTGCACTGGTGCGCTGCGAGTGCAGCATCAATGTGAACATCACCCGGGCCAGACCCTGCGCTGGGCCTGCATGTGGCACTGCACCAAGGAGCCCTCAAGCACTAAGAGCCCACACCCGCTCCCGGCTGTCTAGGTCCCCACCGTGGTGGATTACAAGGAGGTCCTGCTGGCGCTAGTCCCCGTGGAGCTGAGAACCCAGCACCTGTGCAGCTTCCTCTGTGAGCTCTCCCTGCTGCACACCAGCCTGTCTGCCTATGCCCCAGCCCGCCTGGCTGCCGCAGCCCTGCTTCTGGCTAGACTGACACACAGGCAGAGTAAGGAGAGGCCCTTCCCAGGGTTGCCTGTGTCAGGGAAGGTGCTCACATAGGAGGAGGCTGTGGGTCGGAAGAGTCCAGCATCCGTTTGTCCTGGTTACTTCTTCAGGGATGAGATACAGCACAGCTCCTAGCTTCAGTATGTCCCAGATTTCTGACTGTGAGCCTGCACGCCCTACGTATGGGTTTTTTTTCAAAACTGTTTTAAAAGGATTGCAACCCTGAGCTCCAAGAGACTCCACAGCAGAGCCCACAGAGCTATAGAGTGGAAGTGGTCAGGCGGCTGTCGCCACAGCCACTCCGTCCCCTCCATCCCCTCCATCCCCTCCATCCCTGGCCTGCTTTCTTCCCCAGCACAGCCCTGGACCACTCAGCTGTGGGACCTCACCGGATTCTCCTATGAGGACCTTATTCCCTGCGTCTTGAGCCTTCATAAGAAGTGGTGAGTTTTGGCCAGGCGCGGTGGCTCACACCTGTAACCCCAGCACTTTGGGAGGCCGAGGCAGGCAGACCATTTGAGGTCAGAAGTTCGAGACCAGCCTGGCCAACATGGTAAAACCCCACCTCTACTAAAAATACAAAAATTAGCCAGGCGTGGTGGTGCACGCCTGTAATTCCAGCTACTCAGGAGGCTGAGGCAGGAGAATCGCTTGAACCCAGGAGGCAGAGGTTGCAGTGAGTTGAGATCACGTCACTGGACTCCATCTAGCCTGGGTGACAGAGCAAGACTCTGTCTCCAAAAACAAAAACTGGCCAGGCGTGGTGGCTTACACTTGTAATCCCAGCACTTTGGGAGGCCAAAGCGGGTGGATCACCTGAGGTCAGGAGTTCGAGACCAGCCTGGTCAACATGACAAAACCCTGTCTCTACT